TTACAGCATGAGACAGGGCCGGTGCACGGGGCCAAAATAGACACACTGCCACTCTACATCCCAATCACCCGCCACCCTTGTCCATGCATTTGAGGTGGATTAGTCCAACAGGTGCTTAATTATTCTAATTTAAAAACGCTCCAAGGAGGAACCAGGGACAAAAAAAGGCAAATGGGTTTCAATTTTTCAAAAAGTCTTATAAAAGAGCTGACTCGTACGTCTCACACTCCCCCTGCTTCAGTTAATTAATGGTTGAACTCAACAGGTGCTACATTTAGTTTGAAAATTCAATCAAAGTTGAAAAACCAGGTGATTAATCCCCCCCCCCCTCCCCTCCACTTTCTAAACCGCCACAGGCTCACAGTGTCAGCAGCTGCATCTTCCATGGCCCCATTTACAAAGTCTTCCTACATGAGAGAGAAGGAAACAAACACACACAGACACTGACAAACACTGACACACACACAAACACACACAGTTTAACGATTTCAAAGTACACAACTCTGGCCTGAGCCAATAGGAGAGAGCGTCTGTGAGTGTTTGATTTGAAAGGGACCAATAGGACAAAGAGGATTGTATATCCGCAAAAAAAAAAAAAACGCAGGTGCACCATGATTAGAAAGCAGCAGCTGGTGAGGTCACAAACAGACACAGGGATACACACACTGTAAAAGTGCCCAAGCAAACACACACACACAAGCTTTTTCAAATGCACGGTAAATATTCTCCAGCACTTTTCATTCCACTATCTGGCCTTTGAGTATAACAACAAGTTTTATAGGAGCATGTAAAGTACCTCAGCGCCTCCGTCTCACCGTCCTTTGATGAATAAAGAAGGAAAAAAAGTATGAATACACACATCATAAGCAAGCCAATATGGGTTTGAAATGACTACCCTTTGAAAAGTGAGTGAGAAAGAGGATATGAAAGGGAGCAGTGAAATCCTCAGAGGATTTTTTTTTTCCTGAAATAGCTTATAAAAGACTATATTTTTAAAGGGGAATCAATTGACTGTGTGTATGAGTTTGCGTTCACACATTCTAAGTTTCAGTTCGAGTCGGAGCAGCACACTGAGCGAGCAAGATGATCTGTGGCTCCTTTTAAAAAGCATCCACAGACTCCTTTCAACATAAATCCAGCATTGTCACAGGCAGCCATCCATTCCCCATCCCTGATTTACCTCCCCGCTCTATTCTCTCTCTCTCTCTCTCCAATCCGCTGTTATCCCCCGAGACATGTCATCATCTTCTCTGCAGCCCGGAGGTCTCGCAACATCGTAAGACCCATCGTAATCCAATTTCGCATGGAGGGATGGGCAGAGAATTGCCAGCTCTGGAATACATGCACGCACAACTCTGTTTGGTGATGTCATTCAAATCCCTCCAATAACTCGGAGCCGGTAGGCATCACGATTGCTCTGTGGTCGGAGTCAGTTAGCAAATGCTTGCTACTGGGTCTGTGGCTAAAGAAGAGGCCTTTTTTCTGATCACCAGAGAGCTTGAGTTTGAGCCCCATTAAAGGTCCCACTGCTTCATTAAAGGCCTCCCCTTCAGCAAAAGGGGCTCTCTGTCTGATGAAATGGCATAACATGGGGAAATGGCAGATTGAACTGTTCAATTACAACTTAACAGCCGCACGTCGATAGGCTCTGTTCATTTCCACAGCCCTGGCCGTTGAGTTCTGGTGAGAGGGGCTTACACGGAGGCCCCGGGAGTCCATCAGGAGAAATCGACAGCAGAAGGAAATAGTAAATGAAATCTGAGCAGGCGTGCTAGTCATCTTCAGCTAGCCTCAGGGACTCAGTTAGCTGCAGCACAGAGAGGTGTTTAGTGGTTGATTAGCAGTCTATATGAGCTGCCACCCCCCCCCACCACCCACCAAAGGCACTGTCCTCTCCAGTTTATGCCCCTCTGAAAAATCAATTAGCTCAATCACAGGGCCTTAGTTCCATTAAACATTAATGGCAGAGCGTGGCGCTCAGGGTTAGCGGCTGACATGACTCTGAGGGAGAGAGGTGATTACATCTCAGCTTTTCTGTTTTCAAGGGCTCATCAGACACATCAGAGAGCGTTTCAGTGATGATGCAGAAAATCAGACATGCCACTGAATGAGGATCAAACACTGGAGTTTTGATGTCATCTGCAATTCAGTGAAACACATGAGGAGCCTGCTTCTTGATGTCAGCAGCTGTCTGTGTCGATGGCTATCCGGTGTTACAGGTTAACTTCAGAGACTTAAAACAAGAGGTGTAGTTGGATCTTGTCTCATCCTTAGTGCTATGGTCACTATTCTGATGTTTTATTGGATAATTTTCCCATTGTTGTTATTGTTTTTTGAAGTTTTTTTGGGGGGCCTTATGCCCTTTTAGATTGGGAATTTGATAGAGATTGGGAAAAGACATGCAGGAAAGGAGCCACAAGTCGGTCTTGAACCCGGGCTGTACGCTTAGAGGAATGTAGCCTCGGTACAGTACATGGGGTGACTCTTAACTGCTAGACCATCAGTCTGTTCACCCAGTGTTTCTTGTTTACATGCTCATTTTGACCACAATAGGTTGAAATGCACCAGTGAAAACATTCATGTCATCCTCTGGGTTGAATTTAATTTATCCATGAAGTCTCGGCATTAGGGTAATATTCACTTTAGCTTTTGCACAAAATGAATTTTGGCAGGAAAATTCCCCTTGGGAGTTAGACTACAATTCTACAATTCACTTAGCAGACGCTTTTATCCAAAGCGACGTACATCAGAGCGTAAGAACAACACAAGCAAGGATCTAGAAAAAAGGGAACAATGTCAGTAAGAGCAAACGATCAGCTTTGAGTCTGATTGGACACACAGGTGCTGACAGGAAGTGACCAGAGGCAAAGCACAACATTGAGGGCAGTTCTTGAGAGCTCTAATCAGTATAGAAACCATCTTATAAGTCGTCGTTATCAAACAAAAACCATCGTCATTACCATCATCATCATCAATAATATGGAGACTATCATCATTAAGTTAGTAGGTATTCATGAAAGAGCTGGGTCTTTAGCTTTTTCTTAAAGTTGCAGAGGGACTCTGCAGATCCAATGTTTGGAAGTTCATTCCACCACCGGGGGGCGACAGAGGAGAAGAGTCTAGTCAGAGACTTAGGACTCTTTGCAGCAAATATGCAGATTTGTGTTTTTGACATCGCTTAGCTTCAACTTACGGTGTGTTTACTTTATATTTCCATATTTGTGGTTGGAATTTAAAAGTGGATTTCCTTTTTTTTTGTGTTAGCTAATTCCTCAAATTTGTCTAGCTGAGTTTTTTACTTTACTTTTATATACTGAAGCTTACACTAATTCATGCAATTTAGAATCTGAAAATGAAGTAATTTGAACCTTACTCATTATTAAGGTCCTATACAAATCCTGACCTGGAGCTTTATCACCTTTTGCAGCACTTGTTCCTGGCTTTTAACCTTAATGGTTGTTGTTTTTTCTCACTGAAAAGTATGTTAGGCCAGAAGGGATCACATTTATATCACTGTTTGTTTTGAAGTGATCACTCCAAGTTCACATTTTTGTAAAAAATGCCAATTTTAGACTGTTTTCGCATCGAAGTTCTTCTCTGAACACACAAGATCATTTTAAGGAGCACACTCAATAAAATGTGTCAATATAAAAACATTGTCTTGAAACTGGTGTAGAAAAACAAAAACAAAAAATCCCCTTAAAACATCATTAAAAAAATGCTTATCCTGCCAACTCTGTCAACCTAAGAGGCTTGGGTGTTCTGTTGTCAGTGCTTCAGTTTACAGTTAATGGTGGGCAGCCTCTCCCACAGTGTCTCCCACAGCCCTGCTAATAAAAGGCTAAGAGGTTTATCTGGAGTCAGGCTCTCAGGTCCTGGTCAGCCCCCTCTATCTAGCCAGGACCTGAGAGACTCTCAGAAGAGAGAGTCGGCAGCTGGTTGCTGTCCTCCAGGATCCTCCATCCTTCTCATAGCCCGCCCTTTTTTTTTTGTCTTAGTTGCTCTCCTCCAGGTCCTGCTTTCACCGAGGAGGGTCTTCTACTATCTTCCTGGCCTCCTCTGTGGAGAGGGGGGGCAGAGGTTATTTTGTCTCTCATCTCTATCTCTTGTTTCTTCAGTGTGTCACTCCTGCAAATACACATCATGTGCATCCAGCACACACACACACACACACACACAAACCCAGAGAGCCCAGCCCTCCTGCACACTCAGAGTAACAAGGGTCTCTCTCAGGACACTTGGCTAATTTAACCCCCACCCCCCAACCTAAGGCAAAGCAGGAAAAGGAGGGGGAAAGACAGAGGGAGGACACATTTGGAGGTGCTATTTTAAAATGAGACCATAGGCAACCTGAGGGCATCATATCTTATCAGAGTCATTGGTGCACGTATTTGTGTGCATGTGACCGGACTCTTGCTATTAGATACATGTAAAGGCAGATATTAATGGCTCTCTCTCTGTGGAGCAATACTGTACTATGGAGTGCAAGGAATGCAGCTAACTCACACCCGCACCCACACCGACACTGACACCGACACACACACACACACACACACACACCCATGCATGTGTTTCAGGACATTGATTTATTCTTTGCTTACTGACACCGTACAACATTTTTTTTCTGTAAAAGCAGATGATTCAGCTCTGTACAGATACAAAAACAAGCCACCACTTGCGTTCATTTCTTTATCTTTAAATAAACCTCCTGACAGTCTCATTTGCCACCGAGATGAGTTATTAGAACTCACTGACATTTCCGCGACTGAAGTTAAATTGCTCTTTCTTTTTTTTGTTATCATTATCTTGTTGTCAGAGTATAGCTGCAGATTCAGCCCTTTCTAGAACTGTATTCTCACAAGTTTCATTCAGCTGACTGCAAAAACTTCATCGCCACAGTCCTCGGGCAAATTGCTAATCAAAGTGAAACACATAAGCAAGACCACTATTAACTGCTGCTCTCTCTCCTCTTCCTCGTCTCTTTCCCCTTCCTGCTTTAGACAGTGAGATTGTCCCCGCCGACTGCCTGCGCCCGCGCTCCTTCACCACCGTGCGCTCCTCCTCTCTGCGGCGCGAGGCGGACGACTCCCGCCTGTCGGTCAGCCTGTGTGACCTCAACCTGCAGCAGGAGGACGGACGCTCGCCCCGCAACCACGCCCACCGCCACACCCTCCACCTGGCTTCATCTTCCTCCTCCTCCGCCTGCCCCATACCACAGAACTCGCTCAACTCCCAGCAGTCCTCTCTGCTGCCGTCATCTCTGGAGAGCGACCTCCACTTCCACCAGCTGCGCGGCGCGCACATCAAGACGCTGGACGAGCAGACCGTGGCTCGATCCGAGCACGCGCGAGAGGAACGCACCCTCGTCTTCACCAACCGGCCCCTGCGCACCGGAGAGACCGTCTTCATCAAAGTCACCAAGTCCAGCCCGGCGCGCTCAGGCTCGTTGTCCTATGGCGTGACGTCGTGTGACCCGTCTGTTCTGCGCCCCAGCGACCTGCCCTACAACCCGGAGGCCCTTGTGGACAGGAAGGAGTTCTGGGCGGTGTGCCGGGTGCCCACGCCTCTTCAAAGCAGCGACATCCTGGGCTTCCTGGTCAACCACGAGGGGGAGGTCATCCTCAGCCACAACGGCACCAACGTGGGCATGCAGGTGTGTGTGGACAACTCCCGTCCACTCTGGATGTTCTTTGGTCTGCATGGGGCTGTGACTCAGCTGAGGATTCTGGGTAAGTAGGAACCACATGGCATGGATGTTTAACACTAGTGAGTAGACACAGACATTGGAGGATTATTTAAAAGAAGACTGAAAAAAGGCAGCCAGGTGATTTAATATTGTCCTTTCATACAGTAAGAAACATTGGTGAGACCTTCTTAAACACACATCTTTTCAAACTCAAGGTCCCCCAACTTTTCAGATTTTCTGTTACTAGGCAGATTAATTGTCAAGGCAGACATATAGTTTATATTTAAGTAGCAAGAAGTAGCAGAACAAAGCAGCTACCTAGATTTCAAATAGAAACAACAGTATCCCGAAAATGTGCACGTTTATTTTTCTTTGTAAGATGATCCACTTAGTATCATAAATGTTGAAGACTTTGCTTCCTGACCAAAAGATGGTGACTCTTTAGGCCATTTTTGTTTCCAAGGAGTGCCCCTTGAAACCCATTGAGAAAACTTCCTTGCATGGGCGTCAGATGAGCCAGTCTAAAAAATATCCCACCAACAAATGTTTGACTGGAACAGACTACTATACAGACAAAAAAACCTTGTAAAACTTAACAATTTCAATCCGATATAAATGAAGACAATGGAAAATGGAAAGCGTCTTAAAATAACCATCTTGCTCCAGAATTGTGTTCATGGTTCACTAATAATTTAACTTGTACATCATCAAATATTTCATCTAGCTCCTGTATGTGCCCTGAGTGGAGTAATGGCTGCCCTAAGTTCTTTGACAGCACACTTTTTCTTGAGAATAATCCCATTTGAAGCAGTAATTCATGGTGGAAATAACCGTCCTTTAAACCCAGCGATGCGTCCCGGGTCAGGAACTCACAGATGAACATATTGATCTTCATTTGGCACAGGCGCTACCACTGGTGGAACCTCCGAGCTCCGTGCTTAATTCACTTACTCTCGGGGGTTGAAAATCTATTTGTGCTAAGTGTTGATTGCTCTGACAGTATGCCGATGGAGGATGAACCACATACCCCCCCTCTGTGTGGAAAATACAGCCATGGCCACGACCAGAACTAAAGGGTCAAGAGTTTGAGGGAGCACTTTATTACTTTGTTTGTCACAATATTTATAGCCGATGTCTTGAGGCAGGAAACTTCTGTACACGTTCATAGGATTAGCAAGACAAGTACACACTCTGTCACCAACCAGGGAAGATGAAAACAGGAAGTGAGAGAGTAGCTCTTGTGTGACCTGCACACAACAAAATGTCTCAGTGGGGGGGGGGTTGCACTTTGCCTCCTGGAGGTGTGCTAGGACACCTGAGGTTTGTTTGCCTGCTCTAAATGCTTGTAGTGACAGGGGGAGCTGGAAAGGTGTGAAGCAGTTTATTACTGGCGTTCACTTCACCCTGCTGAATATATTGCCTTCCCCACGAGATGCAGGCAGCTGGGAGAAATGTGAGGAAGGTATAACTTTGCTGTAGTTCAACATTTTCCATTGTGAAGATATTGATGATTTGCAAAGTTATAAGATACCTCTTGTATTTAGACGATGGATGACAGATTAAGATACAACCTAAAACAATAAAAAGTATTTTTTGACTGACACCTTCCTTTTTTCAATAGCTGTTGTAGTTTGAAGTTTAGGCAGTAAAAAAAAAAAATATTGAACTCCCTTAATCACAGTGCTGTTATGAATCTAGTTATACAACCAGCAAACTCCGACTACAACATGAAGTTCACTTCTCCATTCACATTGTTTATGAGGCAGGGCTGCACTCAAGAATAAAAAAAAATGGAAGACAGCTTTATGGCCTATACCATTAAGTGTTCTGCTTAGAGTGGCATTTTGTTCACAAATCTGCCAAAGTCATGTCCTAAAATCCTATTCGCACAAAGAATAAACACAAGCTGTTGAATTCATCCGTTAACAAGCCGTGATTGTATATGTTCACCAAGTTATTGCAAAAGCAGTTGACAGTAAGAAGGCCGCCTCTCTGTCGGCTGTATGATGCAGATTAGCGCGTGCAGCAGTGGAGGCTGTCTCCTAATAATGCAGCTCTAAAGCGGCATAACAGCCAAAACAGCAGCAAGCCTTTCAAAGGTGTCACAAGTGTGTGTCTGTGGAGGAAGAGGCGTCTATAAATACATCCTGCTTTTCTTCAATGACGGCAGTGAAAAAGGGAAGCAGACGTTAAAAGAGGGTAGAGGGGAACAACCTCAGCTTTAACTAGAGACTGGAGATAAACCTTTATCTTGTTAAAAGCCTTATTTTAAACTTTTAACAAAAGAGAATTAACTGTGCTCACTATAGGCTACCGGTAATCGTGTCCTCTGTTAGCTTGTCATAAACTGACAACAAAGTAAACAAAGCTACATACATACAAATGCTAGTGAAATAGATAAAGAATATCAATTATCAAATAAACCTATGAATTAATTGATAAATTGACAAAAAGCAGAAAGCGGTACAAGAGGACTCGCAATGTTCCAGTCAAATCTCCACCTCTGTTGCTGCTTGATTTTAAAGAGCGTGGCAGGGGCATCAGCATGTCATGCTTTAATCTGCATAAACATTTCAAGTTAACTTCCCTCACAGTTCTCCATGTAGCTTAACAGTCAATAGAGTAGGTTGTCTGGAACCTTTTTTCATCTGAGAGAGAGAGAGAGCTCCTTGATTCACATCACTTGTGCCTATTTACATAAAGCATCCAAACATATGATACACAAGTATACACATGACAAATGTCAATACCCAAAGCTCACATCGTAGATTTTTACATTTTGAAGTATGATCACTACCATGTCAAATGTACACTCTGAATGTTTCTAATGTCAATGTGTCGAGCTCACATACAGTATCAAATATCTTAAGTTTTATTCCAACTCTTAACAAAATAAATGTTTTTTTTAACTTCTTATTTGTTCTTAAACTCATACTCACATTCCAAACATGAAAAATATATATATCCAAAGTTATTACCCATTCTTTGTCCCTCATATTAAGTACATAACTCTTATTAGGATTCACAAAAGAATAGTAGCATGTTGGTTTCTCTTCTAGAGCCGAGCTCACCTTATCTACAAAAACATCTTACATTCACATCCAAGAAAAAAATTACTTATTTATTTTCTTAAGCTCCTCTGTGTCCTTAAAGGCTTTATATGTGATTTTTTTGATCCAGCAGATGTCGCCCTTGAGCACCAGCATGAAACCAAAACAACTCGCGCTGCATTGTTGTGTTAGCATGCTAATGCTAGCGATCTTTATTATGCTCGTATCTTCACACTGCATGTAAATTTACCTGAAATGAGTGTGATCTAGAAACACAGTTAAGCAGTGAGTACAGTATGTTATTCTTCTTTTCTCTAGTCCCTCAATTAAACAACTTTTATACACGAGGGGAGGAGTCAGCCGGCCGTCCAGGCGATGTAAACAAAGTGAAGATAGGACTCTGAAAACTCTGAAAACATCACAGACAGTGGGACTCGGGTGTTACACCCATTGTAGACAGTCATGACTCACAGAGTTATTTTCAGAGGAGATACTTTATATTATTTTTATATTATATTTAAGTGTGAAAAATCACATATAAAGCCTTTAAGCTCCTCTGTGTCCTTAAGTCAGTGAAAAGCCAATCGTTTATTTTCTGTGTCCAGATATCAATGTGTCACATCATCTCCATAAATCAAAACCTTACCGCCATTTAAAGATGCAGTACATTAGCATCCATCTCGCATGTTAAACTTACTACTCAATAAGCTGGTATAAAGTTTTGGTGTAGTGCTAAAACAAAAATAAAACATAAAACATTGGGCAACCAAGTCTTTTTCAAGCATTTGGACTCAGGTACGGACCACATTTCATTCTGCTTTCTAGACAAAAAAAAAGAAGGGACACTTTCCATTCTTTCTGTTGCAAAAACATCTGAATATCTTAACGTTACTGTAAACACTACTGCTGGATTCCTGTGTTATTGCACAGAGGGATCACTTACCTCACGGTTAAATTAAATGTCAGTTTGGCAACTGTGCATGACACACCACCTGCTTTTTCTGTTTGCATTTCTAACAATCATTTACTGATACCAGAGAGGTTGACAGCACAACAGGAAACGTAGAACAATGAAACCGGTCGGAGGCACATCCATTTATCAGAGCACATCTTGGAATTCCCACTGAGGTGTGGATCATCTTTATACCAGCTGCTTCGAATCAGGAAGCAGCGCTTATCTCGCTCTTGCAACCCCGTGATCTATCGCTTTGTCGACGTTTTTAGCTTTCAGTTAGGCTTGATTCGAGCCGTGCCTTTTTTCTAAATGGAGTGAGGGATGTTAAAACTTAAAAGCTGTGCTCTCCCCAGAGGACTCTTGCTCTTCAGGGTGGCGAAATAAAGCAAGTCATGACAAGAGGCCTCCTGCTTCCAACAAAGCCCAAAGTAATGGAGCTCTCTCTAATGGGAACAGACACACTCAAAGAGAAACATCAGGTTAGCTCAGGTCAGCCTGTGAGTGCTCAGACAGGTTAATGACAGTGAATGAAATCGATACTGCATTACTTCGATTGGTGCTGAAGGCATGGGGTGCTACAAAGGTTATAATTGTAATTCAAAATATCTGTCTCTTTTACATCTATTGTATTGAAAGGTTGTGTGTATCTTTGTGGCTCGACAAAGGTGTCAAATATCCTTCCTTATAGACCAATTGCTTTAAATCATGGTTGTTAGCTTTTAGCTTAGTGCATCATGCACTTATCACTTTGCCTGCATGCTTTGGTGGGTGCATGTGTGGGACCCACTCACAAACAAGTTGGCACCAGCAGTGGTCACAATCTCAGCAGGGTACCTATAATTTAAACTTCAGAACAAGACTAAAAGACAGCTGCTTGGCATTTAAGCCCACAACATGAAAGAAAAACAACTTTGTTCTTGTGCTACTTCTTGATCTATTAGTCACTCATCCTACAAAGATCATCATTATTTCCCTTGGTCCCTTGGTCCCTTTGCTCCCGACAGCTATAAGCTTGTTGGGACCAAATATATGCAGTCA